GAGAAACCATAAAAAAATTCTTATGTGTTTGCCAGTGTTCATTCTGTATTTTTCCAAAGTGCATAGATACTAAGCTCACTAAACACACATGTAATATTCTGTGATCCCTCCAAGAGAACTTACATAGTTTATAGGATACTTAAACATAACTTACAGCATAAGCAATCAGCACAAAATACAATGCAAACTTTCAACTGCATTTATTAAATTAAATTCAAGGATAAAGAACATCTAACCTCTTAATGAAATCAAAGACTATGGCTGCATTAAGTGTTTTGTTTGAATGTTAAAAGATTATGGATTGACCTTACGAGAAAATATCTATAGATATCCAAATTCAAAGACACACATGCTCTATCAGCACACAACAAGCAAACTGGGCAGCCTAGATCCTAAGGACAGGGCAAAATTAGTAAAACTACTGGTAGGGCAATGGTAACCTAACTACAGTTGCTAGGCCAGAACCTTTCTGTCTTGCCTTATTCATTAAATCCTTAGCAAAACAGATGACAGTTAATGGGAAAATTGTTGGCAATCAACTGGAAATATGAAGTGTCTTGCAATGATGGTGTCTTATTCCACCTCACCCACCTTTTAACATCTATGCCAGAGGGGATACTATAAAAGGATAGGCTATATATTGCATCAAGAGAAAGAATGAAGTACAGAAAACAGAACTACTCTCAATAGGATTAGTCCTCTTTATCCCATAAATACAAGAAATCACCGTCCTTTGTTTCAGTGTACACTGAAAAAAACCCAAATACCTCAAGTTCAAGTTGCAGCTGCTTTGGAATCCCTGATGACTTTTTGTTTTATTTTGTTTCTGCAAAAAGTTCTGTAGAAAAGCCCCAAGTGACTAAGAAGGCAATGCACTCACTGAATTAACGGCACAAGGTAACCTATAAAAGATTATTCTTCTGTGAGAATGTTTTTTTCAGAAAGTGTATTGGGTTTGCATGGCAAGGTTTCAGTAGCGGGGGGGCTACAGGGGTGGCTTCTGTGAGAACCTGCTAGAAGCTTACCCTAGACAGAGCCAATGCCAGCCGGCTCCAAGACGGACCCACC